TTGTGAATTGTTCTTGATCCATTGTGGACTTTTAGGGTTTCGCCAGATTCTATAACATGACATTTTTTTTAATTATTGGGAGAAAAAAAACTGTTCCATTTTGTAAGAGTCCATCTGCACAGTTCACAGCCACGGCTAACAGCTGATGTCAAATTAATTTTCTAACAGTGTTCTCTTCTGTAATGTTTTTTTCATGTTTTGCCTTGTATTACCTGAGAATTCTAGCTCTTATGTATTTTCATAGTTTCTAAAGTCTGTTTTTTTTCAACTAACAAAATACTTTAATTTACATAATTAATGTTTTTTTTAAGTGGGCTGATTTTATTAATATATCAGTCTATGCAGTAATTCCATCCATCCATTTTCTACGCACTTTATCCACTCCAGAACCTATCCTGGCAGTATCCTGGAAGAGATTCCAGTCCATTGTAGGGCAGACACAGACACGCACATTCACACCAGGGCCAAGTTCCCCATTAATCTAACATTATGTCTTTGGTCTGTGAAAAAAATGGAACACACAGAGAAAACACATGCAAACACAGGGAGGACATAAAAACTCCACACAGATAACACCCAAGATCTGGAATTGAACCCAAGTCCCTGGCACTGCAAGACAGCAATGATAACCACTGTAGCACCATGCCACCCAAAAAATCAGTCAATGAACCTACAGTACCTACAGTAGGAGCTTGGAAGCTGTGCTGTGCTGTGCTGTGCTGGAAAGAAGCACTTGTCATGCCCTTTATATGACATAGTATATTATATGCACACTTGTATGCTTGTGTATATGTAGTGTACATTGTTACAGTTTTTGAATGGGATGATCTGAGTAATCACAGAAAATAAAACCAATGAAAACATCAACCATATGCTTTTTATACACTTTACTCAACACAGATTGACATGTAATATGATCACCATTTTTTTGCTTGTAAATCCACAATTTTGGCTGGTACAAGACAGGATGTCCTACGTGATTTGAATGTGCAACATTCAGCGTTATGGATATGTAAGAATCCAACCACATTTAAATTTCTAATAAAGACATTTGGCAATAAGAATATGAGAATTAGCCTAATTGGTATAGTAATGAGGAGAACTAGGATAAAAAGTAGTTACTGTATTTTAGGTAATTGGATTAATGATTCTGCGTATCTGATATGAAATGATAGAGCAGTATTCAATGCCAGTATTCAAATGTAATTTCATGGACCAGAAACCTGAATCTGACTGACAGTTTGGATTTCCATTGAAGGGTAGCTAAGGCTTAGAAGGCCAGTTTCTGGTTTCATGTGCAAGAACATACAGTAGTTCTTTTTATAGCAGATGTGCTGCTTAATACAAAAATACCCCACCAGGATGTTTTGTGACAAGTTGTTAAACATTAAAAACTAACTGCCATACATCTAACCTGCCTTCTGGAAAAACAAAAGTTAATGAAAAATATGTTAAACAATTAAATATGTTTGCCTCCATTTTTAGGAGAACCTCAATCTCTGGCAATTGGAAAGCAAACACAGGTTCTGCAATGTTAGAACAAATTGCTATGACAGATCGGTAAGTTGCATGTTTTCTGATTGCTTTTGGAGGATAAATGCATAATAGACCTTTTTTTTTCTAATCTTGCTACTTATATTTTTAAATCACAAACTAGAAAACAGGAAAGTTAAAGCTAGTGTGACATTCTGAAACAAATTATAAATTAAATCTGATGAAAGTGTAGCTCTATACAGTAAGTTATGGTTCATGCTCAAATCTTTCTTTTAGCCTTTCAGCAGTTGTGTGGTACAGTATACTTCTGCCAAATACTTGCTACATTTACCCTAAGAGGTGGCTCACTTCTGTGTCATTGTGTTTAGGCAATATTGTGCTGTGAAAAATATTTACATTCTAAAAAATATTCTTTACATGGAATGAAGTTTAAAACAAACTAGATATTTGTGTACTCAGTAAGCAGATTATTTCTGCTTAATTCATTTAATGTCCAAATAAATCTTTTAACTGTACGTGTCATGGGAACACTAACTGCTAACTGCATCATCTGGCCAATTTTTTATTTCTAAACTTAGGAGTTCATGTAGTAGAATCTGTCGAGACAATGATCTTTGAATTGAACATGATTGAACATGTCTCCACACAGGTTAAAAAAGTTACATTTAAAATGTTTAGTAAAAGTCCTGCCAAATCATGCAAATTCTAAGAGATCCTGGTCCTGTATGAACAATTTTTTGCCTTGTCTGCATGTGAGTCTTTTCATTTACTTTGCCCTAATATTTCAGTCTTCAGTGCAATACGCCAGCTAGATGACTTTTCTTTTGACCTCACCTTAAGCACAAATTTAAGATGTAGATGTAGGTTTTTACTCTACTATTTTACAGATACCGACTGTGGGTTGACTCCTGTGCTGAAATGTTCGGAGGCCTTGATATATGTGCAGTGAAAGCTGTCCATGGAAAAGATGGAAAAGATTACATCATTGAGGTTGGATTTTTCAATCAGTTCTGTAATTCTCCATAATTTATTTTCCTCCAGAAATCTTATTAAATTGATAACACAGTACATTTCAAAGAATTAAGTGCTTAAACTGAAATGGAAGTAGGGAGAGACCATCAAAGTAATGCTGGGAAAACAGAAGGTGGGTGTATCCAGACATGATCAGAACCAGAAAAAATGTACTTTAGGTCACAAATGTAAATTGTCTTAGCCTCAATGCAGGAAAGATTTAAAACAATAAGATGTTGGAAAGAACTACTTTTGGTAAATAACTAGGATGTCATAAAAGTCTGGGTAACCTCTAATGATGGCGATTCATTCTCTTTTAGTGGTTATAGTGTACATTCCTAAGAAAAGATAAACAAAAAGGCAGTGGAGTTGCATTGTGTATTTAAAACTGTACTGAAGCAGTTCCAGATAGAATTCAGTATCCATGTGGCAAAAACATGGACAATATACAAGATGCTTATTTATAGGAGAGTGCTTTCAAAAAATGAGTGTATATTCACTTCCAATGTACAGACATTAACCTGACTTCAAAGGAACATGCAAAGAGTAGTAAGGAATAAAGCACTTCCATCTGTTACGTCTTCTTTAGGAGTAAGAAATTAACCTGTTTTCCCTTCTCTTTAACTCCAGCGTGCCTTCTCAACGTTTCCACCACCAGTTACATCTCTGAAGCTCTAAAGTCTGCCGATACGTACTTACTGCCCCTCACAATATATGAATATTTCTTCACTTTTTCTGCATATCTTATGCTCCATCTTCCCCAACAGGTTTCACTTGCAGCAATGGAATCATCACATTTACTGTTGAGTGCTAGACACAAAGCATTTATAACCTCAAATTTGTCTGTGTAGTCAGTACGTTCAAACATTCCTGTTCTTACTATTGATTCCGTTCATTGTACAGTAAATCTTGTCGTGTCCAACCCAACACTGGTTGTTGTGGGACATCCTTGATGATCCCAAATACAGCTACAGTAGCTTTAGGACCAAACTCTTTCTGGTCATTCATTTAGCTCTGGCACAGTATCCTTCACTGCTGGTTGAGTAATCCCAGTCATCACAGCTAAATCCCTTGGACACTAATCCAATCAATTTTAAGCATCAGGTACTCACCATAAATATAAAGGATTCCACATCAGTGTTATGGATCTCGCTCATTCTTTAGGGGTTTGGACACACTTGTCCCTAAGCCAGGCATGTTAAAATAACAAAGCAACTAATTCATATAATGCTTTTATGCCATTTCAATATTGTGGTTTTGGCTGAACTTCCTAAAGGAGTTATAAGCAAGAGTTTAGGAGGACGTCTAGCTCTAATATCACCCTCTTCCCTTCTCCTGGATATAATTATCAAAGCTTTGCAGCGTCCACTCACTCATTATCATTCACACTCCTTCCTCCATCCCTCCTTCACTCTTGCAACATCAAACTCATCCCTCAAAATGAGGAGCAGGGAGGGGGAGGTAGGGGGGTTTCCAGCCGCTTCATCACTATGGCCAGGTTAGTCAAGCCAACAAATAACTCATTCAAATCACACCTCTAGATTGACCCAATTAGGGTTTGGGCCCAACTATTGAAATATCAATTGCACTATAAAAAAATGTCACAGCTTGTGTGATCTTTCTCCCTTTCTGACACTCTTCAATAATGTACTGCAAGCACTGTTAAAAATCGGTTTAAGCTGGCTGTCCCTGGTAATGGTAGCAACATGAAACCAACACTATCAGATATAAAAATAGTTTAATCTGTGGTTGCTTTGTGATAAACCAATGAAACTGTTTGTTTAGTGTGATTGTAGTCTAATTAAAAAGAAATCATCACTTTGACCATTGACTGAGGGAGACAAATTTCATTTTTGTAAAACAGTGAACATTTCAAATTTTCACTTTTGTAATTCAGTAAATGAAAAATGTCTTCGTTTTCACTTTTATTTCATATGCATTATTGAAAAAATCAGGTTGATTTGATCTCGATTTAGAAGCCTTTATGATTCGTGACTTTCTGACAGGCTGACCTCAGGCTGTCAGGCTTGGAAACCACACCTCCGGCACACTAACTCTGAACACTGGGGTCCCCCAGGGGTGTGTGCTTAGTCCATTGCTCTACTCCCTCTATACCCACAACTGTAAAGCCAAACACAACACCAACTCCATCATCAAGTTCGCCGATGACACCACAGTTGTAGGTCTGGTCACAGACAATGATGAGAGGGCCTACAGGGAGGAGGTTAATCTCCTTACAACGTGGTGTGGTGACAACAACCTTACCATCAACATCAGCAAAACCAAGGAGCTGATCGTTGATTTCAGGAAACTGCAAACCAGACATGCCCCTATCCACATCAACAGGACTGAAGTGGAAAGGGTCAGTAACTTTAAATTCCTTGGCGTCCATATCACTGAGGACCTCACATGGTCTCTCAACACCACCTGTCTGATCAAGAAAGCGCAACAGCACCTGTACTTCCTAAGACGGTTGAAGAAGGCTAAGATATGTCCCCAGATCCTCACTAACTTTTGCAGATGCACTACAGAAAGTACACTGACAGGCTGCATCACAGAGTGGTATGGCAACTGCAGTGCTGCTGACCGCAAAGTCCTACAGCTGGTGGTGAAAACTGCCCAGTCCATCACTGGGGTTGCCCTCCCATCTATCCAGGACATTTATGACAGACGGTGGTTGAGGAAAGCTCTAAGCATCATCAAAGACCCCACACACCCCAGCTACAGACTTTATGATCTGCTACCATCTGGAAAACGGTACCGAGCATTCGGGCACGGACTACCAGACTCAGAGACAGTTTTTACCCCCGCGCTATCAAACTGTTAAATTCACAGCCTCTCTCACTCTCACCTCTCACCTATGATCTGAACCTCACAGTGCCTTCTTCCTTTCTTTCTTACCAAAAACCCAAACACACATTGAAAATCTACCTCTACCATACATGTCAAAAGCTCACTCCCCATAATTTCTATCCCTTTGTTTTATTCTGTTGATGCATATTTTTGCACATAACCTATTACCTTTTTGTTGTTTTGCACATTGCCTGTTGTTGTTTTTGCACATCGTCTGTTGTTGTTTTTTGCACACTGCTTGTTGTCTCTGTCTTTCTTTTGTTATACAATTGTATTGTTGTTGTTGTTGTTGTTGTTTTTTCTTGTACTACTTATGTCCGAGAGCTAGCTAAATAGCATTTAGTTATACCATATACCTGTATATGAGTATAATGACAATAAACTTGAACTTGAACTAAAACCTCAAAGAAAACATTTTCAAATATCTTTTATCAGCAATCTGTTTATACCAGCAAACCTAAACTTATCCTGGAAGTCAAATCAAGACTGCCATCTGGGTGGATGCTCCACCCATCACAGGGCACACATGCACACATCAAGCACACAGAGGCAGTTTATAAATACTCACTAACCTATCCAGCATGTCTTTGCAAGGTGGAAAGAAACCATACAGTAGCATCTAGTGGAAACCTATACAAATATGAGCATAATATGGAGGCATTACACAGAATGCAGCACAATCTGGAATTGAACCCAGACCTTTTGCTGCCTTTTCACCATGCTGCCCTTTTTTAACCATACTGTACTGTATGTTCCAGAATTCAGGTATTTTTGAGATACAAAAGAGAATATCCATTTGTATAGATGTTTTATTACAGGCTGAAGTATTTTAGCTTGTCTCAGCAATGTTTTAAACGTGTTAGTACTTTGGTGTTGAGAACAAAAATAAGGTTAAACAATCATTTCCCATTAATCTTATGAGGTAGTATGGAGGATGGTACAAACCAGAAATGTTCAATTAGTGATAAGCGAAATACATTTTGTGGGTTTTTTTTGTTTTCACAAGATAAAACACATCCCTTCATTGCTGGTTTCCCTGTGCTATGTTCCAACCATTGTGTTTCCTTTAGACAAGACCAGTTAGGGTTTATCTGCAAATTACTCCAAATTATCACCCCAAATTACTTTTTTCAGCTAAGCTTAGAATATATCCGATAAGGAATAGGGTTGTTGCCATTGTTAGCAATATCGCATGAAAACACGGATGTGAGGGTTTTACTCACTTTCACCCTTGTCAATTATTCTGTGTAATCCACCATAAAACAATCTGTGTCACAGCCAAAGATTTACATTTTTGGTTTCGGCTCATAAACAAGTGTTTCAGACTAATTATCTTGCTGTGTAATGTCTGTTACGGTTATTTCCCATTTTGTGAGCATGTATTATGTAATTTGTTTCTATAGTATGGTTTTGTTTCACTTAAAAAATATAAATTCTTTGGAATCTCATGTACTCCAAATCACCTAATTGTATCTTTGACGTGGTTCTTAGTGGTGGTTTTTGGTTAAACAGAGACAAAATACTTCTATGCTTTTGTGACTCTGTATGACGTTTTAATTTTTTACTGGTAGCTTGTGAGTGGCTTAAAGTTCTGACTTGATGTGGGCTTGTGAAAGACACTAGCTTAGGAGCATGTTCTGGTTATGAGCTTAAGAGCTTGATTTGTGAAATGAGCTTGAATTAGTCTGTTAGATAACAAAACATTAAGATATGAGGTACTTTTTACCTGGTCGTGGTATGAGTTTTTATGGTATAGTTTTTTTAAAGAATTAGATGCAAATATACAATATCATTTTATTAATACATTTTAATGTAAACTTAACATATAAATGTCATTTTGAGCTTTGCTGCATTGTAGATTCCATTTTTATTGTTTGTACAAGAGGATAAATGCTGTTGTCCTGAACAACAAAATATTTCCCGGGTTTTACAATGGAAGAGATCCTGAGATTTCCTTATTTAGTTTGGAAATTAAACAGTGTCACATGGGTTATGGGTTTTTTCCATATGCTAAATGTTCATATTGAAACTAACGTTATCTCAGGAAATGGGTTATCCCTAGAGAAAATGAATGAAACACACAGCATTCTTTTTATATAACAAGAAATGGTAGACAGGGACTAGAATGAGTCACACTTGTAAGGCTTAAAATGCTAAACAGAAAAATAAATGACAAAAGGCCTCTGACCTTTGACAGAACTATAAAAAAATGAGTTCTCCAGTTCTCAGACATTCATACTGGCATGAATTTAATCAAGTACCATGGATCCATATGTACAATATGTGCTTTATCAATAAGATAGAGATTCTGAAATTTCTGTTTAACTGAAAGGAGCCTTATTCTTATATTTTCTGATTTTTTCTTTGCTACACAGCTCTCTATTTTACCACTACCTTTCAGTAATAGTGAAAAACGTATTTTTAGACATTTTGTGAACAATGAAAATGATGTTACGGGTATAGAATACAGGTTTTTACATTTTATAACATTTTTCATAGTAAATGAAAATAAAATGAAATTCAATAAAATAAAAAAGAGGCAAGAAAAAAAATCCCATATCAATTACAAATAAATTGACCTTTTACAACACATGGTATGTAGCATGATAATAGCATGTTCAGAAACTTCAGTATTTTGTCATTTAATGCCTGTTTTATAAATGTCATATACTGTATGTCAAATTAATATCTCGACATAAAACATGATCAATCAACAGAATTGTAATATTAAAGAAACTGAAAGTATCTGCACAGTAAAGTTTATATTATCAAATATTGTTGTATACAGAAAATGGTGACAACAGAATTGAAACCAGTCAACACATAATAAATGTTTAAGGAATAGATATACCCGTTATAAATGTATACCATCATGCATTTTTTCTAAAGGAAAATGTTAGGTACAATTTTTAATTCATACCTTAACCAAAGACAACTTTAAGTGAATCACTGTGAATAACTAGGAGATAGTAAAGGTATAGTTAAAATATTTTAGAGCATAGTATAAAAACACATTTATTCAATTAGGAAGGGTTTCCTGTTTTGGTGTTCAGTTCAGCTCAATGGTGTACAGAAAAAATTGACAGTGATTCACTGTATTACAAAAAAAAGAAATCTCAAATGAGAGCACTATAAACCTTTTTAAATTACAAGAAACAGTTATATTAATATTCAACAAAATCAACACTGACATGTCTTCTGTGAAATGAATTAGAGACCTGTAAATAAGAAGGGTGTATCCAATACAGATAAAGGCCACATTTATTTGAAGTTTCACTCTCTGGTTGCTGGATCCAAACCTCAACCACTCTGGTTATGACTAATAGGTAACACCACCCTGTCTTATGGTATTCCCACTAGAAGACATTTCATTGCAGCTTGTGCTAGAAAGTTGTTTGTATGAAGAGGTTTAAAGCTGAGGTTAAAACAGGAAAAAGCATTTTATTTTATGTCTGTATTTATGGTTCACCAGCCTTATTCTAATCATACTTTGGGATACTAGTTCATTTAACATTGACTGAATTTATTTGTGATGGCCATTTTGTTCCTATTTTAAAGCATAATGGCTTTCATATTTCCATGAGTGTGACTTCAAATAATGGAAGCTCTCTGTACTTGACGTCTCTGTATGTGTAAATTGTGAAATATATGTCTTAGTTCCTACTGTTAACCTGTAGCTTTGGCCTTAACCTTGTGCTTACAGTATGTAAAAACCTGCATATTGTGTGCTGATATTGAATTTAAAATAATAATTTTAATATTTGTTTTGCTTTTTCAACTTGTAAGTATACACTGGAGATTATCCTTGAGGAATTTAGATTGGATTTGTATCTCAAGAAGTCATAGTTGAAGATCTTGAGCTCTTACATCCTTTATCATATATTGACATCCTTGTAAACCTTTTACTTAACATGAAAACGCCATTGTTTGGACTGCGGGATACTATAAGAAATAACCAAATGGCTCAGTAACGGTAGCCTTGAAGGAGGTTTTAATTTGTCTCTCCAGGGCAGGTGGGAATCCCCTTTGAATGCCCTTTGATTACAACTTGAATGTCACCTGATTGAGTTCTGGGTTTGTGAAAATGTTAGGGTTTATGTACAGTATTACTCAAGGGATCGACATCTGATTTCAGAGGAATTGAATTCCCTACAGATGCTACAGTATTACTTTATTTTATTATATTAATCCATTATGTAAAGGAAAAAAAATCCTGGATACTGTAGTGAGCAAAACCTCATTTTAATTGTCTGATGAAGGAATTTTAGTGTGGGACAGATTGGCAAGCTGAATAAAGAACTGCAATTACAACTGATCTGCCACGAGAAGTCGCTAAAGGGTCTCTAATTGCTGTAAATAGATACATTGGGTGTTAACATTTTATTCAATTATTAGTGATGGGTGAAGAAATGCAAATTCTCACAATTCAGGATTTTGTTTGGTAAAAAAAGAAGTTGCACAGTGCTAGTGGTGGTGATTTTTTAATACTTTGTTGTTGGACTAAAAAAAACTGAAACAAAGCTTCTTTCTTTGTCAGCATTTAAAATTGATGTGTCTGCTTTAAAATGTAAAAAATGTTTTGCTTTATATTCCTACAATTTGTAGTGCATTTTCAGTCATTACCTTTAAATTGTACATGCTTGTAGGACAATGTAAATTTTATTGTTACATTGCAAGGCCCACAAGAGTGATTTTCAGTGAACAGAGGTGGGTGTTTTAAAAAAAAAAACATTATGAATGTTATTCATAGTCTTTATTGGTGTCTATTCAGTAGCCTTGATTCTGGTCATTTTCTGATACCCATTGCCTTTATTCACTTACACTCTTTGTTTTTTTTTATTGGACTGTACCTTTCCCTCGGTATAATTCAGTGATTTTACTTAACAATCATTTTCCATAATTAGGGGCTATTGAGATGTACTATTGTACCAAGTAATAAAGAATTAAAGAACTAAAGAATTTGTGGTCATAATTAGTCGATAATTGCATCTGCAATTTAAGAAAAGCCCATTTTTTCTTACTGGATTCTCACTCTAACACACTGAGGATTAAAACATTTGGATGGTTATTTGACAGTATTTAATTTTTTTAACCATAGTTTTTTAAATTTCAGATACATTTCAGCAGTATTAAATTTTTTTAAACCATAGTTTTTAAATTTCAGATACAATTGACTGTTGCTTTAGTGCATCTACTGTATCTTTCTTGATCGTTTTACTAGTTTTACAGTTACAGCCACCTGCTACCACCAAGTGTTAGAAAGAGGGATTGTTTTGAAGAGTTTTTAAGTGACACAGATGTTTTTGTAACATAAAACTATATTTTCAAGAGGTCTTTAAATCATGAGGAAACACATAATGATGATAATATGTGATTTTGTAAATGAACTGATAAAAGGTATAAATTTGTAACATTATGAGGTTTATCATTTGTGGAACATTTTGACATTGATAGTCTTTGAATAGGATATTAGTGAAGATTACGATTGACCTTTTTGAAGTCAGACAGAAGCTTTAATTCTGTCTAACCATAATAAATATCTATAATTAATTGCAAATATAGTACATGAACGTGGAAATTATAAAGAGTCCCATCTTCTCTACAGCTCCAGTCTCATTCTTTACAAATGTTATGCTATTAGATTTTCTGACAATATGTTTGGTTCTTCTTTATTTACTTACACTTTTTTTGTTTAACATGTATACAGATATTTTGTTTATAATTTTGTAATATATTCATAGTTTCTGGAAGTTAACAAACCATCCATTGGCTGTTCCCCCTACGGTGGTTGATGTTCTTTTTCTTTGGAATAGTACTGTGTTAACAGACCTACAGTATTTGTAAAAACTTGCAACTACATTTTTGGCAAGTTTTGAAAGGAAAAAGTTACCAAAGGTCTAATCTATGGTTCCATTATAGATTTCTTCAAACAAAAAATAAGCAGGGACAGTTAAATCTTGAGTTTAGACCTCCATTCTGCACATCTGAAAACCACAAGAAGGAAAAAAAGCTCATAAGCATACAAAATATAGTCAATGGCTCACTCTAGTGGCCAGTCTTCCATATTTGAATATTAAATTCTCTTTTTCATCTGCGTTAAAGTACACAGAATAAGATGGATACAGTTCATCTCCTCAGAATTTGTTTATTTTCTATATATTTGCCAGTTAATAACATTTTAATATTTTGTGTAACTATTTTTCTATGAATAAATTAATCCTGCTTTATAATTCCAGGTTATGGACAGCTCTATGCCTCTGATTGGGGAGCATGTAGAAGAAGACAGGCAGCTAATTGCAGATCTTGTTGTGAATAAAATGAGTCAGCTTGTAACTGGTCAAATATCACCTCAGAAGCCTGTTTCTTTGTCCCAGGTATTTTTTGTCTCTTTTTTCTAGTCCTACCCATAGTAGAACCTTCATATGCTCTGTTTAAAAAAAATGTTTATAAAGAAGTATTCGGGTGAAGCAGAGACTGATTTTGGAACAGTGTAAGGGTTTCATACTTTTGTACTTTCTTAAATATAAAAGGATATAAGACTCTTAGACCTTAGTGAAATAAGAAGCTTAATTTTGTTTCTGCTATACAAGAATATAGTTTTGTATAGAAATTGCCCATATTATAACATTGATTAAGGAATTTTAAAACATTCTCATGTAGACAATTTTTCTTTAACCGATCTTCTCAATTTCAGTTTATTTTGAATACCAAAAATCACAATTGAAGTGCACAACAAACAGGAAGCATTAAACAGGTGTTCTTTCTTCTTTCATACCTCCTCATAAATACATTTCACTCCTACAGGTTCAAGTACAGTCCCAGCCCCAGCATGGACCACCAGCTGGCCATCCCAAACCTGCAGCCCAAGGTAAGCTCCCTCCTCATCAGCATATTGATGAATACAGTGCCCAACAAGAACAAAAACATACAGTACAGTATGTACTGTAATTACTGTTTATAGACTGCTTAGTCTAATTGTGATGAAGAAAACAACTACAGTATTACAAAGAAAGTCTGCATAGGAAATGTTACATTTTGTACAATGTACCCTTTTTATCATTTCCAAAACCTATGTCAAGTATGTTTGAGTATTTCTCTTTGTTTTTATGTTTTGGAATTTATATGCAATTGTACAAATCTCAGCAATCAGCAAAATCAGCAATCCAAACTAAATTACAATAAAGACAAATACAAATATACAAGAAAAAAAATAGGAACATACCATTTTAGCTCAGAGGTACAGTATATGTTGGGGTGAGGTTTATACACAGTGGTAGATATGACTGCAGTGCTTATGTGTTTGGCAGGTGGCCCTCGATCAGGATCCAGTTCACCAGCTCAGTCCTCCCAGGGGTCACCCCAACGTGCCAGATCTGCAAGTACATCCCCCAGCCAAGCCTTCCAGCCTGGCCCCTTCCTGCAACAGCAGCCTAAGCCAGCAGCCCAGGGAGAGGGCACCTCTCAGACAGGACCAGGGGCGGCTCCACAGAGACAGCCCCCGCAGCTAAAGTATGTCTAGACATAGCACTTGCTAAAGAAAGATGCGCTTAAACCACTTTACTCCAGCTGTTGTTTGAACTTCTGAAGAACACATCCAAACTTAGCGAAATAACTAAAATGCGACAATCTGTTATAATTTTGTAAAAACTAACAAGTGCATCTTCCCAGATGAATAGTTCCCTTGCCACTTTTCTACGAAATAGATCCCCAGTTCAGGGTTACTTTCAATTAAGGAACACTTGAATGTAGTATATCCTTGAAATAATATGCTTGCACTACCAAAATGATCTTTGTTAATCAGTTTTAGCCTGTCGAATTTGAATATAGTCATCAGTATATGTAGTATACAGCAAATACAGTACTTTTAATGCATATAGTCATCAGCATAGGTTGTACTTTTAACAAGTTGTAGGGAACACATTCTTTTGCTAGGAGTGATACCAAATTTGGTCTAAAAAAGATGACACCACAATTGTATTCACCTTTATATACAGATACGCCTGATATGTTACAATCATAAGGGAGTAGTAAACATCATCTATATTGTTTTAAGATTTTTTCTTATTTGTTGCAATTTGTTGCATGTGTATCATGGTGATTTCTGTGTGGCTCTTTCACTTTACACTGTAGTTTCATTGATCATACTAAGTACTGTATACAATCATGTATGGCTTCTGAAAAGAGTTCTAAACATTTTGGAAAAGTAGACAGCTATCTAATCAGTGACAAACAAATCTCTGACGTTCACCAATCAGAGATTAAACCTATAGTGATTGTATGTTTAATACACTTCCTACAGTAGATTTAAATAATGTCTTTGTTATTTTTGGTGAAATGTTTGTTTGGCTTTATTTTGAATACTTAACTTAAAGTCAAATAGTAATCTTAAGAAAATGCAGCTTAGGTTAATCACACATAATGCATAACAGAATGTTTTTAAGTTAAAACAAAGAAAGTCCTAAACTAAACTATTATTTTTTTTGTTTACAAGTGTTCCCTACACAGAGGGGTTTATTAATAAATATAAAAATGAAACTCCCACCCAAGTCCTGAGCAGACACACTCTAGGAGATGTAAGGTACCAGATAATTAACCTTCAATATGTCTGCTTCTTGCTTCTGTTTGTGTTTCAGTAAATCCCAGTCTCTGACAAATGCCTTCAGCATTTCCGAAACCCTGCAGCGTGGCAATGCATCCGAAGACGAGGCCAAGGCAGAAACTATAAGAAGCTTGAGGAAATCATTCGCCAGTCTTTTTTCTGATTAATTTTTCAAATTTACTCAGGCAGAACCTTACAAACATACAGTAGAGTATGAAGGAACCTGAAACGTGGGTCCTCCATTAAGTCAGGGGGATGATTTAACCTATGCTGCCCCCCTAATGACCATGACGACATGACAGAATTCATAAGCCATTTTAGGAAAAAACAACATAATGATGGTAACTCTTAAGTTGTCTCAATGAACCCTTTTAATTTTTCTTGTTTAATGTTTCTCTTTGTGGTAATTTATGATTAAGGTAACACTTGGTGTATATTTATTGAATACTCAGATACTTTACTGAACTCTATGGACTCTGATTATTATATACCATATCCTAACAAATAATAGTATAAATGCAAAATATATGTTGTTCATGTTCACAACATTGCAGTTTCCAATGCCTAAAATACAGATATGTCTTCAGTTAAGTTTTATACTACATTTGAAACTTGGTACTGTACATCTTTAACGGTGATGGATCAGCCCTCTCCTTGCCCCAGGAGAACTGTGGAATAACTGGTTTTCATTAGAACTTGAGGGATTGTGAATGCAAAAATCTATAAATGACTATAAATGGTAACAAAGCTGCTGGCAATACCACTTAACATCTGTGCAGCTCTCACCTGTGGCAAAGAGTCATACCTGTTTTCCTATAGAGTGTGCCTACTGACATTATATTTACTTTTTATCAACATTGTACAACAAGTGGGTTTTTTTTGTTAGATGCTTAAGTCAACTTCTTTAAAACTAGAAACTTTTAATTGTATTTCTACATTTGTTGATCTTTTAAGAACTTTTTTTTATGATTTGGAAGAGTGACTCTTCACCAATTTTTCCTGCAACCAGTAGCCTGAAGTAATATGTAATATGTATAGTATCTAACATGATTTACAGTATATACAACAAGTATCTGGAAAAAGGGGGACCTACTGTATAGTACAGTACATGTACAGTACAAAAAGGGCTAACTGGTATTTAAATACAGTACATAATTAAACAATTACAGTCTTTTAATTATGGGCTTTGTCAATCCAATATGAATTACACAATACATCTAGTGCAGGATTTGTGTTTTTTTACTTTTTTAAGCCTGCCCTTTATCGAGGAATTAGACTTGCTTGGAGTGGCAAAGAGGAAAGAAAAGATCTTTCTCCTTCTGTTGTTTATCTGTACCAAAGAAAACAAGCGAACTACAGAGCAGATTATTTCTGTGTAGATTTCTATGCATGATTGATATTTAAAAAGAAAAATCATTTTCTTTTTGACAAATTTACCTTACAGTAGATTATAGTGTGACATAAACTTTATCTTAGTGATGTAGAACTTTACAGAAACATTTTACATAAATCAAATTTGACAAGCTAAATGAATACTGTTAATTTACAAAACATGTAGTGTGTAAATATTTCCTAAAATAAGCCATAACAAACATATATTTGTGTAAGTTAACATGCATTATAGTGTTTCTTTAAATAAAGACATTGCTAGCTTAAAAAAAATTATTATACAAAAGGATAACAACATAGGTAAATGTTTTTATGAAGTGTGTTTGTTTTTTTAAAAAGATATTAAATAAAGTATTTGTCTGGCAACCGTTAGAACTTAACAATGAAGGCAAATATCTCAAACTAGCTTTAAAGACACTAGGTCTTCCAAACTGATATGAATGCACACTGAAGCAGTCTAATTTAATCTTTTTGATTTTACGTTTATTTAACATCCCTATTTCTAAGCATCATATGGTAATAGTTCATCCGTAGCAAGTTGAGAATGGACACAGATCCATGGCTTTCTCTGTTGCACAGCAAAATGGAGATTTCCCAGCTAGCTCTCTGCAAACTTGGCCAGGGTTTCAACTGCCAATAGGAACTCATCCTCTCCATCAGCAGGCATCAGAGACTCAACATCTTTACTCAGCTTTGGATCCAATCTCCTTCACCTCTGTAGTATTATTCTTTTACTATTTAATCATTTCTAATGTATTTTAATGGTGAGCCATCATACTGTACAATTCTTCAAACAAAAAACATTTTAGATAGACGTTAGTTGGAAACCTTATAAGGTTTGCTTAAAATCTTCTGGATGAATGGTGTTTTTTAATCACACAAGATTTAATTAACTTGACTGGGTCATTTGTTGTTTCTCAAGTTGCTTTGAAAACCATTTATGTCAGATTGTTCTAGCTGATGATGGCTGTTCCATCACATGGATAATTGGAACACTTTGAATTCAATGATGAATGTAATAGAAGCTATAAAGTATGATGTTACTACTGATTATGTCATCATGTTTTGGGTATGGATAACATATTCCTTTTATAACTTGCTGGTATTTAAAAAAAAATTCATTAGTCGTTCTTGCAATGTAATTCAGATTTAATGAGCTTCCAGTATTGGTTGCCTTTAAAAATGGTTGCAAAATCATAATGGATTTGTGAAAAAACTGACTTTTCACAAATCCTAAACAATTTCTAAGCATGTTCTCCACAGCAATCCACTGCCATCTGTAAAGTGTCAGACTCATTCCTGTTCAAAACTGTTAAAAATATACAGTTTATAATGCTGTTATAATTTATTGAGTAATTTATATTTTTTCAACAATTTCTCTTCTGTTGCCATTGTTGGTGTTGAAGTGTTTTTCATGTACTACATACTATAGGTGAGTTTGTGTTTAATGGAAGGTTAGTATTTCACCATAAAAGTATTGTGTTCACATCAAACACTTATTGATTATGCTTCACAGTTTGGCTTGCCTACATCTGACAATTTGATCCAGATCATATGCATTAATTTCTAATTGTATCTCCTGCTTTTAACGATACAGCACCTTTATGACATATTTTATGACAAAAATGGCATGTTAGCATTCCTCAGAAGTGTTGTAATGGGTGTGATTGGAAATAAAGGCCTAAAACAACACCATGGTTGAATGAACCAAACTTTATTCAAGAGTGAGTTTTGTGACTAAACTGGCCTGATAAAACACCTCAAACATTCAGCACTTTTCTTCATTGGTCCAATCAATTCAGGTCATATACTCCTCCTAGGCTCTTCAACTTCAACATCTGGAAGTATACTATTTCAAGGATTTCTCCTTGTCTGCTCAGTAGATACAGTTATTATTACAATAATCAGGAACAAACGCCACAGTGACCCATGGTGTACAGTATGTTCACCTGCATCTCAAAACTCTCTTGTCACTCCAGAATCATCGCTTACTTTCACTGTATGTTTCTAATGCATATCGTAAAAGTAAGATTTGAGGATGCCAATACACAAAATAAACAAGATTCACAGAAATTAAAGTATATACAGATAGCATATTTTAGCATCTAACATCCAAAATGTTTGCATATTGGTAAAGTTCTGTTCATTCAATGTCTTGAATGTTTTGCATCTGGCATTATGGTATGGTGCTGGTGGCATGGCATTTATTCATGCAGACTACAAGATAGATTGAATACATTCTGTACAGTAGCTGTCATTAGACAGAAAAGCAAATGTAATCAGGTATCTAAAAGACTTTGGGATTATATATAGAAAAGGAAGGCATGAAATTTCCACCCCCTCTTCCAGGGGTTTTTATTCTTGGTTATTTAGAATATGTGTGCTTGGATAAAATATATTCCATTTTCCAGACCTGGTTTATTTTTTCAAATTGATACGTCTGGCAATACGTTAACCAAAAGGTTACTTGCTAACATTTCTCCAGCAGTTATGTTTTTTGTAGCAGCCTTAAAACAGCTGCAGAGAGGTAAAATCACTTCTTAACTCTTAAAATTCAATGTTAATGTGAAAAACATGCATACTGTATAACTGCTGAAAGTAAGACTTTCTTACGTACATATTTTTATCACAGTGAAACCACACTGTTGGGAACATTTTTCTTTGAAAAAAGAGTGCCAGAGTTTTTTGGCCCTACACATGGAATCTTGAAACCTCAGATATTTGATTTATCTTCACTAGGATAAAAGCTTGAGAACAAGCATAACTCAGGTATTCCTGAGGTGTACATACAATGCATTAGAGAGGCATAGTTACTGGATAAGTCTGTGCTTAGGACATCCTTGATTTGATTTAATTTTATTTAGTCTTAAATTAAAATAAACAATAGAAGGAAAGTAAGCCATTGATTTCAAGCTCAAAGAACCTTGTACAGGCTACAACTGTAGTTAAAAGGAATGTTAAGTGTTAAAATTCAAGATAACAACATTAACCGCACAAAGGACTCCCAAAGGCAGTGTTTCAGTGGCTAGAGTGCTAGAGTGGTTTAAGAGATTTATTTCACTAGAAAATGACAATATTTAGAGAATGTTAATGAATTTCATCTAGGATTCTAAGCCCCCTGACCTGGAGATTTTATATCTCCCAGACATGAGGGTTTGAGAAAGAGCAACAGTACTGTATAACTGAGTTTAAATTTCAAATGATATATTTATTGCCAGCATTGACTGCTACTGACTGACATTCACAGCTCCTTTTGCAATTCTCCATTTAAGGCAATTACTTTAAGTTGTTCCCCTGCTTCTGTTTTAGAACAAGACATGGCACACAACAGGAGAAATGTATTTGTAATCCCTAAAATTCCTTCAGGGCTCAAAGTATGGTATATTTGTGTTGGCACTGACACTAGCTACAGAATATGGAAATTTTCATAAATTGGATGACTTCCATCCTGAACTGGTCATTATTTTATGTTCTAAATCTTGTAGGACTGAGGATAAACTTGCATTCATAGAAGACTAATAGATATTGCAAATATATATCTAAAATATCTAAAGCTGGCATAGTTTTATTAAAAAAACATGTCTGTCATAGTTCCTTATGGCTATGTGTCAAGTGGTCCAAAAGGTTCCAACAGAAATGAGGACAAAATGGGCCTGTACATTTCACTTTTTTTTTAGATTTAATCCATGACATACAGTAACATTTTTTTTTCTAAATAGCCTTAATAACTTAGAAATAAACTTCTTAAACCGAATTAAAAACTTTAGTTGTATACTTAATTTAAAAAGGAAAAGTACCGGTTGAGCCGGTTATAATACCTTGTAAAAATTGATCAAAATAAGAAACTTTCATTGAAAATTTATATTATATATTATCATTACATATATTGTATATATACTGGTGGAAAAAGAAATGCAACACCTCCTTCTCCACACTCTGGCAGTCCGCTCTGCATGGAACAGGCTGAAGAGGGACTCATCCGTGAAGAGGACCTGATGCCACTGCTTATGAGTCCATCGCAGCCTCTGTCTGGCCCAGGTCAGTTGGATGTGACATCTATGAGGTGTGAGCAGAGGGCCTCTGATACTGTAGGTCGCCTTGCTCTAAGGCCAGCAGCATGGAGCCTCAGTGTCCTGTCACTGATGCAGGCATTATGTCTGCCAGCAGTTTCAGCAGCAGTACAGGTGGCAGAGGTTAAATGATCTGATACGACTCAGATGGACCAATTGATGTGGAGGTCCTGCTCTGTTGTGGTCACTCAAGGGTGACCGGATTTTGGACAATCATCTGTCCTGCCTGTCAGCTTAAACGTTCTCTGCAGTTGGGGCACAGTGGAGCAGCTTACTCCATAATGTCTGGCAATGCTGGCACATGACATGCCTGCCTGCAGAATGCCAATGGCCCTCTATCTTGCTTCTGGTGACATTCGAGGCATTATGGAATGCACAGAAAACTGACTCAGTGTGGCCTTTCATGTGA